CCGGCAACACAATTATGTTATACAAATATCACGTAGAGTTGAACGTCACTACCCCATCGTGATATCCTTTGTTTGGTGCGCATACAACTCTCGACCACCCTCGCTGCTCACAAAAGAAGCTTTCGCTTCTATAATAAAAATATATACATCACAAATTCCATCGTAAGGAAAGCCGTTCACCTTGTATAATCAAGAATATAATTTTTCTCTATTTATGTACATTTAATATACCTAAGTAGTACTGGTGGTAGTAGATACCTACTACCTATACATCACTTGTTTATTGTTAATATCGGTAGTTTATCATCGCTATTTCTTGAAGATTTTTAACGTCAAGGTTTATGATGATATTATAATAATGAAACACACTATTACTGGTGACTGATGTATTGCAGCAGTAAATAGATTAGTCGTGTCGGAGCTATTAAAAGTTTAAATTTAATTTATGACATGTTTTAATTAAGAAAAAGTTCTAAAGACAGTGTTAATGAATACCATAATATACTGTATAGTAGGTTAACCCGTCTCGAGACAACCTGCCATATCAGTACACACGCCTTGAGGTAGATGCTTTCGAAATTAAAACCAGTAATCACTGTAGATTATATATAGGTATTCACTATTCAATATTCTTGAAGGTATAGAATACAATTTTAATATCCCTAATTTTATTTATAGGAATTGGTTTATCAAGTTTTCATGAACTAAACTTAATTTTTTCCTATAGAATACGAATCTTATTCAAAATGTAAAAAACGGTTGCCTACTATGAAAAAACGTTTAATTTTAAAATATAGGATTAAGTGGGGTAAATGGAAATTGGGATAATCGGAAACGATGGGTGGTGATAGCATCTATATCTAACCTAAAGAAATAATAAAATTGGCCAGGTGGGTGGATCACTGACTGACATAGGTACTGTAAATATTGTATAATATAGTTAAAATGCTAAATAGCATAGGTATCTACACATAATTACTGACAACAGACATACAGTATACCAAGGACGTACCCAAAGTGGGGATTTTCGGGTCTGGAGTCTGGGCCTCCCCCACGGCCCCACTGTTGACAGAATTAAAAATTCTGATGGTGCAAACCACTGATTGTATACTTTTTACATGTAAAAAAAATGTAGACCCCCCTTTGAAAATTACCTGGCTACGCCCCTGCAACATACTTACTATTTTATTAACTAAATTCAGTCGACAAGTCTATAGAGCCAAAAGTAGTGGCGCAGTATGCACCGACGTCGGGCGAGTGGCATATGATGCGAATATGCGATGCATATTGACGAACTTCGCACACCAGCTAATTTGATGATGTTATTTTGATTAAAGTAATTTATTTTATCATTATAGGAATTAGCACTACAGTAGGTAGGTTAAATACATTTTTCTCCAAAAAAATTGCATTTAAAAATGTAATTGACCGTTGTGTGTATAAAATATAATAATATAAGTAAAAAAGTTTCAAGTAATTAAGTGTTCAAAATGTAAATATCTAATTTCGTTCAATTTTGAACTTAAAATGTCTATAAAACTAATTGTTTATATATTTTTTAGATTGTTTGGTTACAGAATTAACTACATACTTATAACCTTGTTTTACATTTTCAATTGTTCAATATTGAATATCATAACACATTTTTAACTACCAAGTAACTTATACATTTTCAATTTGATAAATGTTGTCAACATTTTAACTTTAAAAGCTTATATTAATCTAGAATTAATTTAACCTCCCGTATGCACCAACTAGATTCAATTACCTACCAGAAAATATACTAAAGTTGAAATCGAAGCATTATTTCGACTATTTATCGTCACATTGTGTACACAAGAAATAGAAATAAAAAAAAACACAGACTATTGTAAAATCAATACAATCATCGCTCCATTTAGAATCACTTACCAGTCAGTTTATGTTATCCGTTTTTATCAGTACCAAAATTATTCCATTAAGAAGGGTCGCAAGGACCACTATAAAATACCAGTCGCCAAATTTTGTGTTTGGAGATCGGAAAAATTCACTCCAAACCCCCCTAAAAATAAACCTTAGGATCGCCCCTGTACTACATTTATTACTATTTACAAAAAAAACCCCCATATTTTAAGGTGGGTGGGTAGGTACCCAAAAAGTTTACCGCAGTGATTTAAAAAAGGTATGGCGTTACTAAATAATAATATACGGCAAATGTAAATATGTGTACTTCATACATTTAAGTGATATAAAATCAATGCTAATGATAAATATTCTCTCAAATGCCCCAGAGGTCATTCCTACAGATAACATAGTAACAAATTTGTTCATTTTCCTTAAAAATGTTTTATCATATTTGGATGGGGCAAATGTAAATGAAAATTCTTTTAAAGAATAGTTAGTACATTAACTTTCTATTGTCATGGCTCATTACTGCAAGTGTTCTAGTTAGATAATAATGCAGAAATTGCCAACAATTGTAATGACAACTAATAATTGTATAAAATACGGAAATTCAAAAATATTGTTTCCTATCACCCCAGTTCAACCTAATAAAAGTTAAACAGTATTAAGTTGGGCAAAAAAAAAATGTTTAAATTATTCTGATGTTACACTCAAATAATTCAAACTTTAGCATTGGCTCTTCCAAGGACAAATCCAGAGTGATGATCTAGCCAATTATTTGAATGTACGACACACAAATATTAATCACCATATAAATTTTTCATATAAAACACATGGGCTTATTGTTTTATTATCATTTAGAGATGGAGTAATATATGTATAGTAAAAATCAAAATGAATAACAAAAATGTTAAACATGCCTAGGATCCAAGTAAAAATTGATTGATACAAGAGGTAAATAACAATTTCCAATCAAGAATATTCAGCCATCGAAATTAGATATATTATGGAGCTATTGTTTAATTTTTCTTTGTATCAAATCAACTTCAAAATGCATAAATATAGATTTTAATATAATTACTTAATTTTTTTTATTTTATGTAATTACTTGTACAATTAAATATTGTGAAATTATATATCTGTTTGGTTCTAGCTCTGGGGAGGTAGGGTCTGCTATCAATTTAATCCACCCCAAACTGTTCAAATTTGAACTGGAATTACTTTAAGATCAAGGCATTAGTAAGTTCTAATCCTTAATTTCTTTATATTCAAGATTAATAAATAATATTTTTATATCAAATAATAATAATAATAATAATGCCTTTCTATTGTTTGTAGTATACGCTTTATTAATAATGCAGTTTACATTATAAGAATGGTGAACAATTCATAGAGACGTACACTCACAACAGCAACAGCAACAACAGCAACAGCATCCACCAGCAAGAACAATTCGATAGAATTGGATACATCTAGAAATAAAAATCAATTGTTAAATAAATCTTAATACATTTTAACAATAATTTAAATGTTAATTAACGCAAAAATGTATTTATGTATATTATATAATATGCTCATGTATATGTATAACTCTTTATAAAAGCACTAAGGAAACTACTAACTAGAAACAAAATTGCTTTGTTCAAGATTTAAAAGTAATGAAATATAATTGTTTAATTAAATAGTACCATAAAAACTAATGACACTGTGGCCAGTTTTAAATATATACCACTTCTTATTGTTTGTTCAAAGCAATTTGTAGGCATTAATATTCAGTAGCCAATTAAATAATCCAAACCAATTGTTGAGTTTTGATAGTATAATTGTTTTTCAATAAAATCCGGAATAGAATACAAACTTTAAAATTACGTGTAAGAATGATTAAACTCAAAAATTCTTCAGATTCTATTTAATTATTTCAATTTTTAAGTAAAAGTATTTAAAATATAATATCCAGATAAGTATCAGTATTAGTTTAAACTTTAAATCACAAATTACCTATAACATTATTTATCTTGGCTATTTTTATTTATTTGTTTCTATAAAATACATTAAGATAATTATTAATACTGTAGAAATAATACAAAAATTACTTTTAAAATTTATACATTAAATAATTATTTTAATAGTAGGTACAAGGCAAATAGGTATCATACATGTATTTTAGATATGACCCATTGCTTAGTGTGATTTAATGAAGTCACTCATGTTTTGCGACTTATATTCAAACACGGAAACAATTTTATGATAACATTTTATAGACTGAAAAAATTGTTCTTTCTATAAGTTTTTTTTAGTTGTATAGTCCTTGAATATTTAAATTTAAGATTTTTTAAATAAGCAGTTATCATGGAGAAAAAATTCAGTTAAATAAATTATCTAGTAGGTACCTACCTACTTATTATATTATTGTACGTATGTAGGCAAAAATAAAATAATAATAATGTATTATTATAACATTTTATGCTAAGAATGAAAGAGATTAATTGAGAATTTCATTTCATACAAAAAAAAAAAATTAATTAATTAAATTATTTATTCCAATTACTTCAATCAGAACTATTAATGAATTTAGCAAATTTTACAGGGATGTAGTTAGTAAAACGGTGAACCAAAATTAAATTGATAATTTGTTTATCAATATTTTCAGTAATAAATAGCATTCACAGAATTCATGGTATAATTTTTCTTTTTATTTTGTTTAGGCCCGGCAACTATGGCGGCTAATAGCTGTTTTCTTTTTTGTAGGGGGAGGAAACGGTTAGGAAACGGTTGGTTGAAACACGTTTGTATGTGTGGCAAGGATTTGTAGCTAAAAATCCCGGGACCTAACAACACCGGCCGATACGTACACTCAGAGCATTTACGCAGATAAGAGTACGCCACACCAAGCCACCATTATATAATTTAATAAGGTAGTTATTAAATACTGTAGGTATGGTATGTGGCTACTGAAGGACCGCAAACCTTTTTTAATATAACTGAAACGCAGCGTGTAAATTGTACGCATTGAATAACACGAGCATATTTAATACGATCGCTTAAAGGCCTAACACAGTAGCCAACTAAAATTACAAAATCCGTACATGACCCTATAGTATACCTACAGGTTAATCCTATCGCAGCCTTCTAGCTTCTCTCTCGGACTCGAGCAGCGTGAGAATGTCACCCTCGCGCACGGGTCCTTTGACGTTCCTGATGATCTGACGGTTTTGTTCGCCGATGAATTCAACTTTGACTTGGGTACATTGGCCCTGGGAACCGGTACGGCCCAAAACCTTCAATACACGAGATAACACTACTGGTTTGTCCATGGTTCCTGTCCTAGAAGTGTTTTATACATTATTTTTTGTTTCAACAACCATACATTTTTATTCGACACTTAATCACTTGGCATTCAGATTTAAATCAAACGTACTTACTACTTACTTGTGTTAGGTTGCAGACACAAAAACGCCAATGAAGAATTCGAGTAAGACCCGCAAAGCCGAAATCTACCAGGTACAAGATTCAGGAACGTGGGTAAGACTGAAAAAGAGCGTGGCGTCCGAAAACGTAATCACAAAATGTTAGGCTATACCGCTATGGTACAAGCACAGATTGTCCAACCAACCAGAGTAACTCTTTACTCCATGACAAAAATTATCATGCAACAGCATAGATTAAACATTATTTTCATGCCGCATCTTGGTAATCAATGTCCAAATTCCAAATTATTATTGTTGGATGTTTGTGATACACCTGAATTAATAATTAGTATTAAACAAATTATATTGAATATTTTGGGCCTGTATTATTTGTTCCACAAAATAATTGTTCCAATTACTATTTGTTCCACAAACTACTTGTTCCAAATGTGGAGCAAATAGTTTTTGGAACAAATATTTCGTGGAACAAATATTTCGTGGAACAAATAATTATTGGAACAAATATGTTGCGGATCAAATAGTAATTGGAACAAATTATTTGTAGATCTTAATAATATTTTTTTTGGAACAAAAATTATTTTTTTTTAAGTACTATTTGTTCCACAAAACAATTTTCTTAACCCTGTGACCCACTTGGGGAGGTGTTGCACAGCAAGTCGGGGGATATTTTCGATTTGCGGAGCGGAGCGACGGCGCCGAGGAGCGTAGCGACGAGTGCCGCTAGCACTGCATCACTGTACGATGTTTTTTTCAAATTGGTGGCTCGGTGCAACAAAAATGCAATTTTCTCAACCCTGTGACCCACTTGGGGAGGTGTTGCACAGCAAGTCGGGGGATATTTTCGATTTGCGGAGCGGTTAGAAACACTTGGAACAAACGTTTTTTGGAACAAATATTCATGGGACAAAGTGTATTGGTACAAATGGTTTATGGAAAAAAAGTCCATAGGAACAAATGTATGGCGGAACAAAAGTCCATCGGAACCATAGAGTATATAGAGATGCCCTATCAGAATAAGTATTATCACAGAACAATATAGAATAGACACTCGATCAGCTGTGAGGGTTTACGTATCCCTACGGTATGATGTATTGGACTATAAAAGTTGTACCGTATCCGTAATCTGATAGAACGTTAGCAACGTGTATCCCTCTTTGTTACGGAATTTTTATAAACGATTTTATATGAATTTTCATATTTTAAGTATACCAATATTAAATTTTGGTAAAATGAATAAGGATTTTGTTATTATAAATTAAAAACTATAATGTAATTTTACATTGGTTTATTGTTAATGAAATAATATATTGTATTATTATTCTGTGGACTGATAATATTGATATGATTTATTTAAATGATAACATATGCCACGCCCCTTAGAGACTGTGCTCAAGGCCACAGTCACCCGATTTTGCCAATACACAGAGTGTCTATACCCTGGTATTATGAATTATGTGAAGCAAAACATGTCGGATTTGGTTTCCAATAACTAACAACGCAACTGATAGATAGCGCTAATTTTCAACTTTTCGTAAATCCCACCAATGTAATATTTTGAATATGTTATAATACTTTCTACTCAGAAACTATTTTAAGAACAAACCTAAGATGCTGGTGTGTTACAATAATTTAAGTATTGATAGTACTGATAATTTCCTCACCAAAAAGTTACTACCCTCCCATAACATATTATAATAGTATTTACGTATTTCAGTATTTGTGCAAATCAAGTTCAGTTCAGTAATATTATAATAATTAATATTATATTGATAGTTATAAATAAAGGTTAATATAACCATAGAACAATATGATATAATTGAGTAATAATAATGAATAATATAATTAAATTACAATATATATTGTATTATAGTTCATATACAATAAAATATTTTCTATAGTTTGCCTACACTGTTTTGTTTCCATTTCCGCTTCATTTTATTTCAATTAGGGCTCCTCTATATACTCTATGATCGGAACAAATATTTTGTGGAACAAAAGGTAAGATTTGGACCTTAATTAATTTGGAACAAATATATCGTGGAACAAAGGTTTTGTGGAACAAAAGGTAGTGATCCGAATATTTTAATTGAATAAATAAATTGAAATAATAAATAAGTACTTACTAAGTTTGAAAACCGATTATTCGCATACCTCACATACATTGTTAGTCCGATCTCCGTTGTTTAATGTTGCGTCTCTTACATTCCAGACAAATGGTGGAAAATGAGGAGATGTTTTTCTCAATTTTATACGTGTCTCCGATTGCCCGTTCCCAACTCTTTTATACGACCCTACATATGTGCGTTCAAAATACTCGACCAAATCTGTAGCTTCTTCAGACATGACACTTTTTAAATAATTTAAACCTTGAACAAATCAAGCTATTTATAGACATTTATAAAATTTAAAATTTTTTATTCTTTTTTCTAAAAAAATTCTTCGACTCAAAAAGCTTGAAAATAATGTATTTTAATATTACCTAGTAATTAGTAAATTTTTAAAAACTATTTTCTAAATTTTTGGAAAATAGTGTAGTATATTATTTGACTATTTGACTAATGTGTGTGCAGTATATTTTGTGATATTATCACTATTGATGTAATTTATTTTACTATTAAAAATTAGTAATTTGAGATATTTGAGATAATTTTATTAGTAAGTAAAGTGTAATCTACTAACTTACGTAAAAACGGACAGTCCTGTAAAGAATACTTTTGAAAAGTAGGTACTTGAGTAAGTAGGTACTCAAATACATTTTTTTTTAAGTATTTAAGATACTACTCAAATACTTTAATTGTATAGTATTTCAAATACTACTCAAATACTTTGAAAAAGTATTTGGAATACTTTTGGAATACTTTTCAAAAACTTTTGGTTTTTAAAGTGGGTTTCTAATTATTGTAATATAGACACATAGGTAGTAAATTTATAATCATTTTTATTTATTATTTATTAAATAAATGTTTATTACATTTTTTTTTTTATTTTTACATGAAATTTACAATCTGTTCTTAACTATATAGAACTATATAGAACAATAAGCAAATGTGCATAGGGTATTTGCGTATGATTTTTTTTTTTGAGGGAAGAAAGTAGAAACCATCCATTGGTGATACTACCTATTTTGTGTTCTTAATTCATTCTAAAATTTCTAAAATTATTTCGAATAAAAATAAAATGTTCGAAATAAAAAACCAAAGTATTCAATACCAAAAAGTATTCAATACAAATAAAAGTATTTAAAATACCATTCAAAATACTTCATGCTGAAAGTGTTTAAAAAGTTATTCAATACTTAAAAAAGTATTTGAATACTTTTACTCAAATACTTTACAGGACTGAAAACGGATACATTTGGATATTTTGTCCGTGAATATTTCGACCGTTGGATATTTTGGTTTGGATATTTTGTCCTAGATTCGTGAAATATACACATAATATGCGCATTATAAATGCGTAATCGTACAAGCTGTAAAATCTAAAGAGGGTCATGGTTCAAAATAATGCATATATTTTCCGAAAAACTCAAAAACATTAATAATCCCTGTATACTACGCGGGTTAAAGTGACCCTAACGTACGCTGTTGGCCATCTAATTGTGCGACTCATGTTGCAATTTCTGTACATTTTTTTTATGAGGGCGGCAGTACGACTTTGGTTTCCTTATGGCGTATTCCAGTCTTCATGATTTAAATACTTTAGTATTTATAACACAGCTGTAGATATTATCTACAACCGTGATTTATAATCAGATATATCTTAGTCCGTGGGTCAAACTAAATTGTCTATTTGTCTGGGCTGGTGGTAGATACTGAAAAAATACTTTTAAGTCGTTTGTGAATATTGTTTAGTAGAAACCATTTAATATGACCATTTGTTTATAGTCATGGTAGAAATGTTAGATCATATTATTAAATTATTTAATATTTATTATTATTCTACCTAGTTTAATATTAGTTATTATGATCTAAGGTAGAAACTAAAAAAACGATTTACTACTTACATACTAGAATATGTTAAGTACTATTATTTCCATTACTTTATCATCTATGAGAAGGATTATAGCATAAACATAATAGTATTAAAGATGTGTGGAGATCAGGATTTTGAATTAAAATTAACTTAGCAGTTAGTACAATGATTGCATAGGTAATCATATTAGATTCTTCAAGTTATACCAAGAGAAATCCTGGTATGTCTAAACATCATAAAATAAACATATTTTGTTATTTAATAGACGCTTAACATCAATTAACAAATATACTGTGCTTTTTATTCAACTGTAATCTCGGAAGAAGTTATACTTAAGTCTAAAATTACCTTATAGTATATTATAAATTAATATTTTTCAAAAATAGTAAAACTCGTGTACTCATATACCTTGACAAAATAATAATTTTGTACAATTAACTTATAAGACATAAATACCAACTAAAATTAGAATATTAGTAAATAAATAAAAAATGTATACTTTATTCTTTAATGTATATGAAAATAAACTACAAAATAACAAAAAATTAATATTTTTATAGGTTTAATGTATCACAAAAATGATTTAAGTGCAAGTAATAAAAAAAATGATGTAGTTTAATTATTTACACGTCAGGCGATAATCGATCAAAATAATCTGATAATAATTGATTATTTGGTTCATTATTCAAAAACTTTTTTAAATCTGAAACATTTGAATTCAGAAATATTAAGATCAATTATTATTAATTTTTAAGCAGCTATTTTGAAATTGAATTTTAGATTTATGAATATAATGTTGTTTACCTAGTAATACACTTATAATCTCTTGAGTTTTTTTTGGAAATAATTTGTCTAGAGTTTCAATTAATTCAATAACATTTTTTTCCGTAATGTATTTTCTAACAATTCTGACAAAATTTGTGTATGTATTTTCTTCATTTAGTACAGTCCGTACCTACACGTAACACATATAGAAATAAAAATAACATAATTATATAATATATTTAACTAACATTTTGTTTAAACAGAAGTTAGAGCTAAAGATAAACACTTACATTATTCATAAAATTAAGGATTTTACTTTTTGAGTCCACTATTGTTTTGGGATACTCAATTTTATTAGGAATTATCTTTAATTTACGCTTTTTAGCCAAAGGTTTTAAATCAGATATTACATCAATTTTTAAGGGCTGACTTTCTGATATGGTGTTGATTATTGTATGCTCTTCAAAGATATCAACAGACTCTAAAATGCTATTAGAGCTACTAGCAATCATCAGTGTATTTGTTTTTTCTATTTTGTTTTCATTTTTACTACAGTAACCTTCATACAGTTTTATTGTGCCATCTTCCAATACTTTTCTTTTAACTGATTCAATTGACCTCAATACAGTAGCTTGAGCTGGCTCGTCAAATGAAGCATTTGAAAATAAGACAGTAGAAGGCATCTAAAACATTAATCACAAATTACAAAATTATTCTTCCATAGTTAAATATTCTATTTCAGTATTATGTAAATAATTAATTACTATTGCCCCACTATTTTTGAAAAATTTCATGTTTTCTCTGTAAGCTATTGAAAACTGATCATATATTTTTATATGAGGTTGTAACCAAGCAGAGAGCTGTGATTTAATATTAAAACCTGCATAACGTTCATCACAAAATATAATAGAACCCCAATCGCCAATATGTCTTATTACTCGCCCCATTGCTTGATTCACAGCCTTAATAGCTTCCAATTTGTACCATTCTTGACCAGATAAACACTAAAGCCACAACAGAAATATCAATAACATAACAATTAATATTAAATAAATAATAAAAAACTAATTTTTAATTTTTACCTGTGAATTTTCTTTTCTCATTTCATCCAAATATTCTCTTTTCATCACAACCCGTGGATCTTGGTAAGGAGGATATGGTAGTCCTAATATAATCACAGCTCTAGCTTTCCAATCAGAAAAGTCAAGACCTTCAGACACTTTTCCTCTATAAACGGCTAACAATATAGCACCCTTGTTTTCTTGAATGGCTTTATAATATTCTTCAATTACGCTGTTCAACACGTCCTTATTTTTAGGTTCAACAAATATAGACTAAAATAAAACAATATTTATCACAATACTTTTTTGTAAATATTATATATTTATATTACTTTATTCTTAGTGATTGATGACCAAATATTGCAACCCTGCCAATGATTAACGCACTGGTCTAAAAATGGATATGAAGGGAAAAAAACCAAAGTACCTCCAGGTATAATACGAGAAAAATTTACTAGAGTTTGACCCAAGCTTGTAAGAAAATCAGAATTATTCCTAAAACAAAAAAAGAAATATAATTATATTATTTAAAATGTGCCTTATTCTATTATATTATTATTAGACACAATTCACTGTGTAGGTCAAAATATATTTTAGAATCCATTTAACTGTATTCTTTTTTAAGCAAATTAAAAGATTAATTATTTTAATTGTTGAGCCATAATAGTTTATGACTAAAGGCTAACAAAATAAAAAAAAACATTATTTAAAAAAAAAAAAAAGAAGATTAATATGGTCACTTCAATAAACAAACTTTAGATGATTTGTAGACATATTATTTACCGGCTACTATAGTTGCATATAAGTGGTTTGTTACTCGGTCCAGATTTTATGACTGATACACAGACCTTAAATTAATAAACAAATATTTAATCATGTATAATATAATAAATAATCATAGTTTAACTAACCTGACTATTTTTGATGACATGAGCATTTTGTAATTGTACTTTAACTGGAATTCCTATTTCAGAAATGGTTGCAGCTAAAGGAGACAATGTACCACTTGTAAGTATTATACAACGAACATTTCGATCCAATAAGTCTCTCATCCTATAGAAGTCAACTGTTTATTATTAAGAAATGATGCAAATAACTATTAAAAGAAAGTATATTTCTGTACAGAGATCCTTATTTAATTTATCATAAAATTAAAAACCCATGTTTTTTACAGCCACATTTAAATAACAAGGAGAATTAAGCTACTAGTTATATAATTGTCCAACTTATTTATTTATTTAGAAAACATTTTTGATATTGACTTTAATGATATGCTTTCTTAGATATGTCTGCCATTGTGAAGATAATGAGAGAGATATAACATATATCATCGGGCAGCAAAATAAAAATAAAAATAAAAATCAATGCTATACATCAGAAATAGAAAAGTATACTAAAACAATTTATAATAAAAAAATGTTCCTGCAAAAAATATTGAACAGATCTCAGAAACTAAGGCTTTAAAGTTTAATTGAGCTTTACTCAAATTCATTTTCAAATGCATTGATTTAATATTGTTTTCTAATTTTGTCACTAAATAGCCAACATTCTCTATCTATATTCTATCCTGTTAGGTTAAAATAATATATTATTTATTTAAATAAAAATGAATGAATTTATTGTTTGATGTTTTCTCGTACAATCAACATAGGAATAACAAGAAAATCTAAAAAAAAGAAATTAAAACTATTAAATTTTTTCAAAATGTAGGTAAAAATAAACATTAACATTAAACACAAATTAATAATGTTTTTATAATATGTGGTATGTTATATACAGAGGTTGGACTTAAGGTGGAGCGAGGACTGGAGCAATTTTTTTATGCAAAGCCTTTAGAATATAATTGTTTATAATGTGAGACCTGGGCAGGGGGCCCTGCTAGCCCACACCTAAAGCCGGCTCTGGTTACATAAATACTACCATTATAATCATTCAAATTAAATTTTAGAAAAAGAAGGAAGTAGGGATTATGTAATAGTCTTATACAATCCCCCCTATTTGATTCACACAATTTTATAAATACCCTGCACTTGACAATATACCAAACAAGAAAATACATACCCAAATCCAGGACTGAAGCACCAAAAATTTAAAGTTTTTCCTTTTTTGTGTGCTTTAAATTTAATTGAATCATTTTTTGGTTTATATTTACTCTGCTCTAACTGTATGTATGTCTAAAAATAAATTTTTTAATCATTACAGTGTAATTACACTGCAAACAATATTCTAGATGTATTAAATATATATTAAAACTAATCAATAATGAAACAAAGAATAATAAAGACAAACGTAAATAATTAACTTCTTACTCTAAAATATTTGTCTGTATTCTTAGGATCCCCGTTAGTTCCTAAACTTTGCAAAACACATTCTAAAAATTGCTGAAATTTGTACAAACATGCTTCTTTAGCTTGATGAGGAGCATCACTATTGGATGATGACATATATAATGTAACAGAACTTAAAAAACTAATAAATTTAGACATATTTGAAGGTGTTATCTAAAAAAAAAAAGGATTAGATCCAAATTTAGTTATCAATAATAGTAACTTTTGTTTAAATATAAATATTGTAAATACTAACATCCGCGCCTTGGAGCAGTTTAAATATATAAGATCCTTCCATTTTCTTATCATTTGTACTATTCGTAAGCTCAATACCATCAATTACTTTTTCTATTTCTAAAAATAATGCTTTTAACACACATATATCATCATCGGAGAATTCTCTTGGCTTTAACTGTATTGGTTCAGTAGAAAATTCTGTATTTTTTTCAACATACAATTTTTTCATAATCTAAGTGGATTATATAAGTTATATTATAATATTATATGATAACTTTTCATCACAATTAATTAATCATCAGCTATACTAATTTAACTTATTAGTTATTTATAAATGAAAAATGCAACTTACATCAGTCACAGCATCAATGCAAAGAGCTATGTCAGTGCTACTTATATCTACAGAACAGGATTCTTCACACATCTTTTCGACATTATGTCCTTCGTCAAGAATGATAACATCATCCTAATATAATGATCGCTATTAACTATGGTTAATTCTATAATATAATATTAATAATCATTAATAAATAGAATACCAACACTAAATTGGATGTCTTGGGCTTTTCTTGTCCTTGGATCAATAATGTAATTATATGGAGTGAATAGTATGTCCACATCTTTTTGTAGTTCTCTAGATCCATAATATGGACAACAGTTAAATTTTCTCCCTTTATTTACTAAATCTTCTATGTCTGCTATCCCGTTTTCTACAAATGCTTCTTTTGATTTAAGTTCAACATTGTTGTAAAATTGGCATGTTCGAGTGCTGACTTTAGCACGGCATAATGCAATTTTAACTGAAGAAGTTGCTTCTTTCGTAACTTCTGGATGAATACACAACTGATCTCTTGAACCAATTATACCAACTTTCATGTGTTTGTAATTAGTCCGACGAAGTTCTTTCATCACTTGATTCAGCTGAGTGTGAGTTCGTGAGCCGTAAATGATACGCGGTGGTCGAATCACTCCATCTATAAAAAAGTAGAAGATAAAATATAATTATTTAAATTTAAAAACTGGAGAAGTTGCTCTTTCATATTTTATTTGTTGAGTTTACCTTTTCATGGAGTAAGTAACTGTTATGGATGTGTTCAATTTTAATTCAATGATAATTGATAAATCATAACATAGAAAAAGCGATTCTGAACAGAAAAGGTGTCAGCCTCTATTTCTAAGGGTATTTTATAATTTATTTATCTTACCTAATTAGGTAATATTAGTAAAATATTTTTCAATTAATAGGTAATATTATGGTAAGTCAAACTTATTTTTGCCTAAACAATCACATAAATTGTATTATAAATTTTTTTTGGCTTATTTTTTTTAGTTTTTCCAGACTATTTTGAAGTATTCAAATAAGTGTTAGGGAATATTTTGATACAAATAACCAACTAGTCTAATTTGCAACCAGAAACCACTCTTTGAGTTGAGGACTGCAGCAAATGTACTCCCCCAGCCATGACAGATTCAAAATATATTTAAAAATTACATACATACACACACATACTAACATTATATAGCAGGTTTCGATTGATTGGTGTACTTGCCAACTATAATAATAATCAAATGGGCAAGTAGTTGGAGTATAAAGACGTGCTCCGTCAACTGGCATATTTATCAAGTATATTCATTAGTCTGGTGGCTTTCTTTTGACATGTGTTACACTTACTAACAATCATCAGGAAGGAACTCCAGGGACCAATAATTGCACAAGTACACCAGTCGAGGTAATGTGGATTAAAACCAATACATTAACTGTATCGCTCGGAATCTAAAACACCAAAACTAAAAAATGTGTAGCTTACTCCAAGCACTGTTTGGATTCTTGTCAACACCAGCTGCTGTATTGATTGAAATAGTTAAATTATTTTCCGTCGGACACATTCGGTTGGCTTGAATCGCTGCTTTTTTGGCCAACAGCCAGGCTAACGACGAACATAACAATGACAGCGTTTTTCCCGTCCCGGTGGGTGACTCCAGCACACCATTGTGCCCCTGAAAACGTAAAATCCAACATACACAAAACGATCTAGTAGAAAAAAATAATTACGATGCACTTTTACGGCTGCTTACATTTTGCAAACATTCCAGAACCTTTTCGATGTATCGTTTCTGAACTTCGTAAGGTTCGTAGGGAAAGTCCACTAGCACTCCTTTGCATTCAAACGTCGTCATTTTCTACTCGTACCTATGATTTAATATTTCATAGATAGTGCTTGTACCTACCGAAAAAAACTCAACAGTCAACACTACATATTTTACGAAAGTCTTAAACACATCATGCTAAGAAATTATCTATTATATTATAGTCGAAACGTTATCATTTATAAACTATGATTGAATTATTCAAAATTGAAAACACGATTATTATTATAAAATAGATTTTTGTTCCATAAATGCGCGGGATTTTCATCGATAATATTATTATGTGATAATACAAAATCCTGGTTTCTTTGTTATCTTATTAAGGTTGTACACTTGTACCACAGGTTGTAAAATGACTAAAATACTAAATAGTAAATAGATATTTATGCAAGGCTGGGCAAGTTAACTATTTTTTTTAACTCGTTAAGTTAAGTTAATATAGAAAAATGTAAGTTAAGTTTAAAGTTAAAAGTTAACTTCATTTTTTTTTTAACTTGTAAAAGTTACAAGTTAATTAGAAAATAAAAGTAACTTAACTTAGTTAAAAATAAGTTACTTTTTTTTTAAAATAAAATTAACAATTATACCTACCTACCTTTTTTAAAGCTAACAAATAACATAATAATTCAATAAATCAAAAAATGTCTTACAATATTTGAATAAATGTTTGTAATAAAATTAGTTACTGTAGGTACTTATATTAATTTTGTGTATTATACTTTAATTAGGTAAATATTAAATACCACGCTACTACGGGTATTATTTACATCGACGGGCCAAGTTATCACCGTAATTCTATGAATGAATAAAAATATAATTAAGTAATGATATTAATAATGATTAGGTATAGGTTAGGTGATATGTCGTGTATGGGATAGGTACTGAGTAAATTGTTATATTTTTCTTTGACGCGGTAAGAGTCATCTCTATGATATTTCCCTCTAAAAATATAGTTATAAAATATTTTCTGTGAACATGCAATATAAAAACTTACTATTATTATTATAAATTATTATTTAATAAAATATATTTAATATTTCGGGTTTTTTTTTATGGAATTAATTTTAAATAATATGTGGTTTGGGAAAAAATTAACTTAACGTGCCAATAAAATTAATTAACTCGTTAAGTTACTGAATAACATGGGGAAAAATGTAAATCGTTAAGATAGAAGTTACTTCTAAAAAAAAAAGTAACTCGTTAATTAACTTAGTTAAAAGTAACTTAACTTTTTAACTTAACTTTAACTTATTAACTCGTTAATGCCCAGCCTTGTATTTATGTAGTTCTAGCAGTTCTAGTCATGGGTTGTACTCATAGAGTAAGACTATTACTCTTACTCTATGCCCTTTGGTTGTACTACAGGGTACAGAATACTATGTGCAGGGTGCAAGGTCAATTGATAGGATTTATAGGTGCAAATAAGGGGGCTTAGCATAGGCGCAAATTGAGGAGGGCTTGGGTGCTAAACCCCCCCGTCCCCAAACTTAGCCGTAGCCCCCCCAAAAACCTAGGACATACAATTTTAATATGCTATATTGCAATGGTCTGCTTACCTTTAATATATTCAGCCCCCCCAAGTCAAAAGTTTAAATTGCGCCTATGGGGCTTAGGCACTTAGGGGCTAAGAAGTAGGTATATCGTCAAGTAAAAATACAGCCACGTAATGACTAAATGTAGGTGCTAGCACTTTAATATACCTACTACATACGATAACGAGATATAAAATGTAAACCAACTAGGTACATAAATAAAATGCCACTATGTACCTATTGAGGTTACGTAATTAGGTGTGGCGAGGGGTGAATTCTCCCCAGGAGACGGGAGCCAAATTATAAGGGGACGTTAAAATCGTAAGATATTATGTGAAATACCTAGTAGGAAATTTTCTATTATTATTATGACAAAATAGGATTTGACATTGTTATGAATTAAAAGTTATAATTCTTAGGTAAACAGATAACCTGTCAACTGTCAAGACGTCAATTCATTTTTTTACTATGATGTAGAGGAAAAGATATGTTCTCTACATCGTTCTTTTTACACATTGCAAGTACGTGTTATGCGGTCGTACGATGAACTTGCAAATTCTAAAAACAGGCTTGCAAATTCTGGCTAATCGCATTAGCTTTTCTTTGGTGCTTATTTCAAAGTTCTAGGAGAAAGTGGGTGCATGGGCCAACTAAACAAGTTCAAAAGCTTATAGCGGCCACCTGAAAGACTTACAAATTTCAAAAAGGAGCTTTCAAATACCTGCTAATCATTAGTTTTCGTTTGATACCTATTTTGAAGTTCTCAGTCAAAACGGGTGCGCTACGCGAGTTGGCCCATCTTTAAATATTTTGGTTTCACGGTGAAAGTTTCAAGTTTGGACTTGCAAATAACTTGCAAAATAATGGCATAGATTTAAAAAATTGCAGTACTTAGGTGGGCCAACTTCACGAACGTAAAATTGTTTTTTTTTTTTATTTTATTTATTAGAATATTTACAATCTATGCTACAATAAGGCATAATAAGCAAATTTGAGCACACATTCGTACAATTATATTTACAACATGAACACATGAGGAGGGAGGCCATCCAGTGATAGAACCCAACGTTATTTTAAAATTGTTATTGTTGTAACTTAACAATTTATAGTTAATTATCATTGTCGTGCAATTAAGTTAATTTTCTTGCGGAACCAACTAGACCATATAAATACTGATTCGATAACTCTTTTTCGATTTTGGTCATTTTTTTTCCTAATTATATATTTATATATTGTAATAATCTAACAAATTTTTTACATAGTGTTAAACGTCTTGATAAATATTTGTGTAAATCAAAATAGTATGGCAGTTTATGACTTTTCAATATTGTAACTTAAAATATAGTTATAATATAGTTATTAGTTATATATTTACTGTCCAAAACTGGCTAGCTCAGTCGGTAGAGCACAAGACTCTTAATCTTGGGGTTGTGGGTTCGAGCCCCACGTTGGGTGCCACTGTCGGGGCGTAAGCATTTTCGGCCAAAATGTACCCTTCCATTTTCGGCCAGCACCTACAGTTTTCTTTAAAATATGTAATTAATAATTATATATATTATATATTATATAACAACTGAACTTAACAATTTTTATATTTAATTAAATATGATTGTATTCAAAAATATAATTTTTGATAAACATTATTACCTACAACTGAGTGAAAAAATAATAAAATAAAATAATTGGCCATAAAATGATTTCAATCAAATAAATTACCTAAAAATTAATTTTCGTTTGAAAAATGTTATTAATTTTATTATTTTTACTCTTCAATGTAAGTTTATTTTAATAAAGATAAACCAGTGTTACATGGATGGTACATTTAAATTTTGTCCTCGGTTTTTTACTCAAATGTTT